GGTAACAGAGGGCTCGCTGCAAAGGCGGCCTTGTCGGACTCACCCTCAACACAAAGCTTCAGCGGAGAGACGGGCCGAGCCCGCACGGCGGGCCCCCGCAAAGTGTGGTCAGAGAGAGGCCCTCATGCAGGCCCAGGCCCATGTTTAGTTTCGTCTGTTTAGAGAAAAGTTGCAGAGACCTGAAGGAGCCAAGGCGGATTGCTGGAGCCTCGAAAGCGCTAACTCCGCTTCCCCTTCCTTAAAGCGACGGGGGGCGGTTTGAGGTGTCCAAAAGGTCGCTCTCAAAGCTCCCTTGCCCTAGAAGCTTCGCAGGGGCCGAAGATCGAGGAATGCCAGAAGCATGCCCAGCTCTACTCGCAACTTGTCAGCTCAGTGAACCTTGGAACTTAACGCTCCGAAGTCTAAGCGGAGCCTTCCTGCCACTCTCCAGAGAAACCCGCAGAGCGGAGGCCAGCTTTGGGGGAGCTCCGAGGAGCTCCGCGGTCACTCCTCGCATTATACACCGTACCCCAAGAGTGTTTGTTTTGACTCGCCGTCCGTCCAGCTCGGAAAGGGCGCCGAGCTTCAGAGGCGCAAAGCGGCTCAGCGGCTCAGGCCGAGGCCCGTGCGCAAAAACCCCTGCGCCCCGTGGGGGGGGAAGAACCCGCTCTGAGAGCGTCGTCGTCTCTCTCTCTCTCTCTCTCTCTCTCTTTTTGTTCCGACGCCCACTTGGGCACACGCTTGGCAGCTGTCGCAAGTGTCCCCGCTGCCCTCAGCGATGAAGGTGCCGCTGCCTTGTGTACCTTGTGTACCTTGTGTACCTTGCCGGGAGGTTTTGGCTCTGAGAGCGCTGGCACTTCGAAGGCATGGTGAAACGGGTCCAAGCTTTCCAGGCGAAGACGCCGTGCAAGGCTGAGGATAAAAGCCTGCAGTGGCATCAACAGCCAGTTCGAAGGCCTTTCGGGGAAGACCGAGACTTCCACAGGCTCGCTCACCGCTGACCCGCTCATCACCGCTAATCTGCTCATCTACTCATTCTCTTATCTCTCCTTCAACCGCTGCGACTGCTTCGACGAGCCGCGAGGGTGCAGCTGGGACCCTCCGCCTCTACGTGAGCCTAGAGCCCGAAGCAGGTCTCATCGGCTCGCGACCTGCGCACTTCGGCACATTCCTTGTTCTGCCAAGAAACGCGGTGGGACAATCTCAGTCAGAAAGAAGGCACTCATGCTCAAGTCAAGCAAGGAAAACAGCTCTGGTGGCTTCGACGCGGGCGGGGCGGACGTAGGCCATGGAATGCATGGAACAGGAGCACGGTGACGAGGGAGGCATCAAAGGGCAAAAGGTGACGAGTGAAGATCGCAGGCGACGCAAACCTGACAGGAAGGGAAGGGGAAGACCAGAGCACGGCAATGGCAAACCCAAAGCCTCAAAGCCCCTCGCAGCGCCGGTCACCCTCCAAAAGCGACAGTGCCATGCGGCTGCGGCGTCGACCCGAAGCCGAATTCAAGGACTTCCCAAACACACGGCACGGGGCTTGCCATGGCCCGGAAGGCCGGCAGGGGCCCGGTTCAAGGCCGAGCATGGCCGAATAAGCGGGCGCCTTAAAGCGCGGAAAAGCGCGGTGCCCGGGGACTGGCCCTCTTGGACTGGCCCCCGAAAAAACCCGAGACAGAAGAAAACAAAGGCCTGCCTTTGACAAGCTTGACTTGACCTGCTGCGCCTACAGGGCTGGTCTCTAGGCCAGGCTCGCAGTGGGCTAGTTGGGGGCCTCTCAGACAGCGAAGCTCAGCGCTTTTCGGAAGCTCCTTTCCAGGATGACGGTCACGGTGCAGGAGGACTCAAGTCTCAAGGCCGAGAAGGGGCCCGGGCCGGGAGCGGCACGGCGGCCTCCCTAATGGCAATGCGAGCTCGCTCTGCGAGAGCGACAGGGCGGCCACCGCGCACTTGCAGAGCACGGTCGCAGCGCAGCGCGAGTCGCAGCGCAGCTTGCAAGGGGCCTTCACTCAGACGCACCTTTCGAGTCGCAGCGCACGCGGCAGTGCCCGCAGCCCAGCTGGTACTCGGAGCCTCGAGATCTCGGCCTTGCGCTAGTTGAAGATCCTCTCGAGGGCCACCGGGTTCAAGTTCAAGTCCGTCTCACTGGAAGCTTACCATGCTTGCCCCTGCTGAGCTCCACGCAGCAGTTAACACCCTCAAAGGCAGCCTCTCACGTCAAGAAAGGGCTGGGAAATCTCTTCATTTTCGGGGGAGCAGGACTGCAGGACGGTCTGCTGAACGCGAAGCTTTCAACCTGAGAATTGGGAATCGGTAGCGCTTCGCCAGCAAAGTTGACACCTTCAGCTCGGCCTGCAGATTTGTGCAGCCGAAGAGGCCCAGGTCACCTAGCCCGAGGAGGAAGCATAGGAAGCCTGAGGATGTTTGGCTTGCTTGGAGCCGAGCCGAGCGCAACTCGGCTCAAGAGATGATGCTCTGCTAGGGGGTGGTGGTTTTTCTAGTCGACACTCACCGCGGCTCTCGGCTGGAAGACTCGCGCTGGCGCTTGCTCAGGCATGACAGAAGGGGCGCGCCGAAGTGCAAGCGGCCAGCTGGAACGCTCCGGCGAGATGCCTAGAGTCCCAGCAGCCTCCTCTTCACTGATAACTCCGACCCCAACGTTCCGAGGCTGCGCATGCAGGAGGAGCCTTTTCTAACCTGCTAGCTATGGCACGGCGCGGCCGGGACTGGGCTTGTTGTCTGCACCCTCGTCGAGCCCATGCAAGTGACGAAACCAAGGCTAGCAAATGGTGGAGGTAAGAGCTCTTAGTCTTGCTGCAGCAGCTTGGGCAATGCCGCTATGCTGCCCTCATCTAGGCACCAGCTCCAAGCAGAATGGCTGAAAGGAGCAGAAAGGCCTGGAGTTTTTGCTTAAGGCAGAAGCATGCGAAGGCGGTGGAAGGTTGGGAAGGCTGTGAAGGCACCGACTCTCGGAACCTGATGGACAGTTTCCTGAAGGCATCCTTGCGGCGCAAGAACCGTCAGAGATATGGCACCATCTTCTGAGTCCTGCCTGTGGAGTGCTTGCCATGCGGGAAAGGGGATTTTGCCTGCATGCCCAACGACTGCAGCCGGCTTCCTTCTAGCTTTAATTATTGTGTGGAAAGCCATCGGGCGGCTTCAACTGACTTCAAGAATCTCACTTCCAAATTGCACTTACCTGCACGGTCTGCTGTGTGCTGAAGATCTCTGTAGCAGGAGGCCCTTTATGAGCCCATGATGCGGCCCACACGCGCTGAGCCTGTGCGAAGGCTCACTGGGCTCCAGACTTGCAAGGAGCCTTCCTACGGAGCCCTTTCACCCCCACCCTAAATAGAGCAACGCACGAGTTGGCTTCTGAGGCTGCTGGAGGACGGCCCTGAAGGCCGAAGCAAGGCCGAAGCAAGGCCGAAGCAAGGCCCAAGGGCCGAATCACCCGCAGAGGCGCCAGTTGCCTTCGCCAAAAGCTCCGAGCAGCGGGGACTCGTCCCCCAAAAGAGGCCAACGGGCCGGGTCGCACGGCGTCCGCGGCGGCGTGCGGTACGTGCACGGGGGCTCTGCTTCAGGAAGGCACACAGCGGCACCGTGCGCATGCGGCGTGCTCAGAGGACGCTTCAGCCTCGCCACATGCCTTGTCCTTTCTCTTTCCTCAATCTCAAACCTCTCACACTCCCAACTTGCATTTCAACTCACGAAAGACGGGTCTGAATTTAACTGCCTGAAGTATTCCTGGCTCAGACCGTAGCTGACTCTGTGACTTGTGTGAACACTGGCGACTCTGAGACTTTGAAGGTTCTGCGCTCTGCGGTGCGAGAACCAGGAGACTGGTCACGCTATCAGCTGCTTGCTCCGCTTGCTCCGCTTGCTCTGTCAGCTCGCAATTCCGCGTGGTGCGCGTGGTGCAGCGTGCAGTTCTTCCACATCCACTCGGATAGAAGCGGCGATGCCAGGATCCCGATCTCCGGTTCTATGTCAACTCGCTCCGTGAGAGACTCACTGAGAGATTTCACCTCGAGGACGTCAAAGTGAGTCTGGAGACGAGCACGGCGACGGCCAGCGAGGGGACACCCAAGAAGGGCCGTGGTGGCGAGACAGAGACCGCGTCCATGAGCCAGAGAGCCTCTCGGACCTCGGCGCGAACGCACAACTGACACCTCGCTTAAAACGAAACTTAAAACCCTTTGTTTGCGGTTTTTGCCCAGGTTCTATGATGCGCAGACGGGTGCAATGCAGGATCTCTCTACTGTCCTTACTGACAGGATGTTGGAAAGTGCAGCCGCTTGCAGAACACAACATGGCATAACGCAGGGAACCTATTGTGGGCTTATAGAGATGTATTGTGTATGTGAATATGTGAATGTATTTACGCGTAGAAGAAACAACCCAACAGTTGGGTGCCCAACAAGGGGTCTGTACCTAGACACAAGCAGGGCCACTAGGAGTACAAGACAGGAGCCTGTCGAGCATCATGCCTCGTGGGGTATGTGTGCTTGCTTGCTTGTCTGTTTGCTTCTTTGCCCCCGCACCCCCCAACCCCCCACCCCATCCGGCCTGCGGCTAACACGCTAGCTAGCAGTGTTTGGAAGCGTTTGAGCATTGCAGTGGGTGACTTCCACATCAGCTTGACACCCAATTTGCCCCCGTTAAATGCCGGGAATTTAGGGAGCAAACGTCCTCCACTTGGGACTAGAAGGGCTACAGTGGGATGAATCCATCGGCCCGCGCGGCCAGGGTTCCCTGAGGTGAACTGTGACCGCGGCAGCAGATGGCTGCTTCTTATCTCTGTGCCGAAAACTCGGCAGCCTTCAGTTTCATTCCCAGGACTGCGGCCGCGTGGCCGGCGAAGAGATGTCTCTGCGCCGTCCGCGCCCCACACTCTACGTGTGATCTTGAGAATCTTAAGCCAACGCTGCAAGAAACAACGTGAAGCTCCGCAAACTCTAGACTCTAGACTCTGGCAAACCCTCCCTCCCTTTTTTGGGTGGCTCTGCGCGCTCCTCGGGGGCGTCTCAGCAGTGCGAGAGGGAGAAGCCACAGGATGACAGCACCACCACCTCAGGGAGGCGGCGAAGCGAAGGGCGAGGGGTTCTGAGCTGAAGACAAAGGCAGGGAGGACCAGAATGACGAGGACCAGGACGCAGGCGATCACGGCCATGGTCCTTTACGTGTAGGACTTCCGGGGCTTTTGTGGGAGTTCTCGACTCTGCCTGGCGTTCTGCCACCACACCCGGCGCCGCAGGTGCTCCGCGTCCCGCCGGAAGCTGCTGGCAGACCTGAGAGCACTCACCTGAGCCTCAGCCGTCGCCAGATGTCGCCAGGGCCCAGACGCAGAGAGAACCTCGCTGCGGTGCACCAGCAAGTCGATCTTCTCCTGAACCATGGTGCTTTCAGGAGCTTTGCGGCATCTCTCATGCACCTGCCGCTCGAGGATCTTGTCGATGCTGTCCATGAGGTGGTCGTTGATGTGCTGCACCTCTGGCAGGGGACAAAAATAATTGTTCGAGAGATCGCATCCCGTCCTCGCGCATGCTCGCGCATGCTCGCGCGCGGGGGCGGCTCTTCCTGGCCTTGGCCATCATCGAGGCCACACGGTCCACTTCCGGAGAGTTGTACTTCTCCATGAGAGTCTTCAGCTGCTCCCGGAATTCCCCCTGCATGCCATAGGCGATGGCGCTCTCCACCTGCTCACGTCCGTAGGATCCGCAGAAGCCGTCCTTGCGCGAAGAGCAGAGCCAAGCGAGCGAGAGGAGAGCGAGAGGAGAGCGAGAAGGGAGCGCAGCACTCCCCGTAGTCTCCGTCCTGGACCGCTTGCAGGAAGCCGAAGGGGATGCGCCGGCCCAGGAGCCGCTCGGCCATGCACACGAACCTCTGCAAGAAGCAGGCTTGGGCCCGCGCAGGGGTCTTAGCTTCCGGGGCCCCCCCCCCCCCGGCCAGAGGTTCAGGGTCTGGTCCACGATGTAGTGGAAGGCATACTCGCCTCTCAAGAGCTCTCACTCTCCTTCCCCCCCCTTCTTCCACGCCGAGCCGAGAACCGTAAATGTAGCTCTTCCACTCTGAAGTGCTCTCCAGCTTCTGGAGGATCTGAATGGTCGCCTTTGGCCGGGACGCTCAGGCTGGCCCCGTCACGCACATGTCATCAACAGAGGATTCGAGAACGGCCTATCGGCGGCTTGAACATGACGAAAAAGCCACTGGTGTGTCAACTCTCTTGAGCTCATGGTCTTGTAAAAGCCAGAAGCTGGAGGCTCGAGCCAACCCCACCGATGCGCGATCCGGAGCGGGAGCTTTGCTGTCCCAGGAAGTAGCCCGGAAGGCCAGCGGCCGGAGCGAGCGGAGCGGGGCGGAGCGGGGCGGCGGCAGAGGGAGCCTGCTGAAAGTTGCCGGCGAGCGCCGTGTACTCGGCCAGAACGACTCGCTGGCCTCTTCAGGGCAAATTGGTGCAATTCTTTGGCTGTTTTCCCACACCTCGGATGATGAGGGCGTAGATGATCTGTGGCCTGCATGGCTTTAGGGCGGACGCAATGAAGCTGCGGAGATGCGATGTGTACATTCTTATGTTTTTCGGTTCTCCCAAGAAGCAGGTTGATTCGCCGAGCCTTTGCCTTGGGCAACATATCAGGCCTTCAGAGGAGCCCTTGGGGAAGCCTTACAAAGGGGAAAAATACAAACCTCACGGAGAACTTACAGTAGCCCAAATGGCGGAGCCTTTGCAGGGAGCCTGCTTGCCTCGAGCTTTTTGCCAAGTCTGTCTTGCAAGTTTGTTGGCTTTCCGAGCAGAATCGCTGCTTCCACTACTGCACATGTTCCTAAACATTCCTGCGTTGTATTTTTTCAGCTTTCATCGGAAAGCTTCTACTTCTTGCACAAATCTCACAATGAAACCTTCTGTTCTTTCTTTGAATACCTTTCCAAAACGGCACTCATAGCGGACGGGATTCTGTACGCATGCAAACGGGTTGCGCGTTCCATCAAGATTGTCCGGCAGGGAGCCCATTATGCTGGAACACAGACCGAACGAACTCATGCTGGTTTTGAATTTCTTGGTTTCCTTGGGTTTCCAAGCAAAACCTCTCTGTCGACCATTTGCCAACTCCTGCGTGTACTCAGAAACGGCTGTTCCAATTCCTGTACAATTTATTGGAAACTGAGTTTTTCTTTACATCTCAGTATGCAAACCTCTCCATGCGACGCTCTACGATGGGTTTGGAACCAAAACGGCTTGTGCGTGGAGTGCCACTTTGCAAAAAAGCCTGCTCGCACGACGGGCTTAACAAAGCACATTGGGTCCATCAAAGCAAGCGATCCTAGCTTCTCAGGAGGCAGGCGCCCCCCCCAGTCACGACACAATCAAACTCTCAAGACTGTTGGACATGATTCTGTGGAGGTGAAGCTGTTCCTTGGCAAGTCCCGGGGCAATTCTCCGTTGTCATCCTCAACTGGGACACATCAGGCAAACTGGGCCACGGCTTCGAATTCACAGAATGCAGGGATACACTTTGGCTCGTTCGAAGCTGGACAATCTGATGGACGCAGGACTGATTCGCATTTTTCCGCAACACCTCGTCGGCGGCAGATGACCTGACCTGAAGGATTCGTGTCTGCAGCATTGCCTGTTGTAGCACTTTGGTAACGATTCTTGGGAAATTCGGGGTCAACCCTCTTCACATCATGTTGTAGAAGACCCTGGATCAATCCTTCTTGAAGGTGAATCATCACAAATGTCACCAGCACGAGGTTCTGCCGATTGCGAAGATGCTGACGTTGACTTCATTTTCAACCTTTTCGTACCACTGCTCATGATGGCCGGTGAGGTGCCGATTGCGCCTGAGATGCAAATGTTGACTGTGATGGTTTGGATTTGCAAGAATCGAGATCTCGTTGTTGCTTGCAATCTCGACGCCTGCATGACAACGGGTGCGCGTGGCTGTGCTTCGGCAACGACTTTCTCCTTGTTGTGACAGCGTTGAGCTGTATGACTGCAGCGCCCCGGACTGACCCGTGACCTGCCCGTGACCTACCCGTGACCGTCCGTGACCTGAACCAGACCGCCTGGCTGCTCTTTTGTAGCTGATGTTAGTGAGATTCAGACAGACGCACAAAATCCGCCGGCTGGTCGTCACGAACATGCCATCTGCAACGTCTTAAGTACTTCGGACCAACACAAAGAATCATCCGAGCCCTGGAAGCTAAGCTCGGACTCACTGGGCAGTTTCTTGCACCACCTGACCGATGTTTGCAATGACGGGTTTCAGGAATATCTTGGAAGACAAACATCTCCTGAGGAAAGAACTGGAAGCAATGAAGAACACCACTTTCCTCGAGCCCTCCGACGCCACCCAGTCGGGTGCCAAGACTAGGAGCGAGGGAGGAAACTGCAGCTGCGGAAGCGGAAAAAGGAAGACGGAATGCGAGCCGCGAGCTGCAGCTGAGCAATCTTGGACCTTGCGACTCGACCTTGGGATTACCACTCCAAAATCCCAAGCTCGGGTTTGCAAACTCGACAAGTCGATTTTGAGGCTTCATAAGATGATCCTACATGACGAGAGTGCTGAAAATACAGGGTAGATTTGATGTTGTCTTAACATGGCTAAGAACAAGCGTGCTCAGTGTTGGAGGTGATTAATTTCGCATGATGTTGAGGATGAGTTTTGGATGACGTTGATGATGATTTTTGGATGATGTTGATGGTGATGATGATGATGATGATGATGACGATGGTGATGATGTTGATAACGATGACGAAGTGAGTTGGTTGGGGGGGTGGCTAGCAGTATTTATACTAGTAGTGAAGGAAGCGTCAGTCGGAAGCGACCTGAAAGTAAAGTAAAACGCTTGGGTCAAAGGAGCAGGACGCAGTAGGCCTCTGCCGTGCCCGGAAAACCCGTGCGGCAAAGCGCGCGGGACGTCCGGTAGAGTCACGGGGCACAGGGAGCGCGCGGACAACGCAAGGAAACTACTACCAGCTGCGTATGCAGACGGCACCGCGGTAGTTTGCTGTAGGTTATAGTAATAATGTAGTAGTAAAGCAACAGCAGCAGCAGCAGCAGCAGCAGCAGTAGCAGCAGCAGCAATAGCATAGTTGTAGCAGTGACGTAGTAGCAGTGGTAGCAGCAGTAGCAGCAGTAGCAGCAGTAACAGCAGTAGCAGCAGCAGCAGTAGTAGCAGCAGTAGCAGCCGCAGCTGCAGTAGTGGCAGAAGTAGCAGTAGTAGCAGTATCAGCAGTTGTAGTAGTAGTCGTCGTCGTCGTAGTAGTAGTAGTAGCAATAGCAGTAATAGCCGTAGTACCGGTCTTACAGAGTAGAGTAGAGTGAGTAGAGTGTCGTCGTCGTGGTCGCCGTGGTGGTGGTCATCGTCGTGGTCGTGGAGGGGTGGTGGTCGTCGTCGTCGTCGTCGTCGGGGGGAAGCGGCGGCGGCGGTGGTGGTAGTGGCGGCCGTGGTCCTGGTGTGTCGCCGTGGTCCTGGTGTGTCGCGGGAACCCGAATGCAACACTTGCATGATCCTTCCCGCCATCCACGAGAAAGTAAACACCGACAGAACATGGCTCAACAGAACCACGGTAATGCAACGCAATGCATTGGTGCTGCGACGCGCGCCTCCCTCTGTCCATGTTGCCTCCGCTTTACGACGGTCACCGCAGCACTACGGTCCGCAGGAGCCTTTGTGGGTCTGTCTTCCTCGTGCTCGAGACTCGTCTCCAAGCTAAGCTCCATCTCCTACAACAATCTGAGCTGTGGCTAGGAGATACAGGGTTGTAGCTTAATTGCATTTGCTTCGCTGAAGTTTGCTCGAGCCCAAACCGGCAAGTGGTGCCAAAAAACAGCTAAAGCTCCAATCGGATTGAGAGCTCTGCACGGCAAGAAAGTGGCTATGCTTTTCTTCGCGCAAAAGCCTGGGGAGAGCGTCGTCTCACACGTGTCATTCCGCGAAAGACGTCCCCAGGGCTCAGCCGCAGAGGCCTCATGCGAAGCCTGGCCTCGGGTGCACTGCAGGCTGAGTGGGCGCAGGCGGAATTTTTCAACACCGAGGTCCGGGCATTTGGTAAGCACCGAGTGGGAGTTGTGGTTGTGTTTGGAGGGGCAAAGGCTGAAGTACCAATTGCTGTTGAATTGGAAGCGGCTGCATTGGGGGTGGTGGGGGTGGTTGTAGTGGGTAATGTAATGACTGGAGAGGTTGAGCCTGGAGGGGCATGGATTGTTGCAAGGGTTGCAGGGACTGCAACGGCTGACCTAAAGGTGGTGCATTCAAGGGACCCAAAGGAGCCCCCATGCAGGGTGAGCCGGGCGGGCCTGGTAAGGGACCTGGCGGGCCTGGTAAGGGCGGGGGGCCCGGGCCCCCCAAGCCGATTGGCTGAGGCATGGGCTGACCTGGACTCAGACCCTGCGCACCCAAAGGAGGACCGCCTATGGGACCACCTATGGGCGGTGCATCCAAGCCTTGGCAGCCTTGACCCAAGTCATTGCCGTGGCCCAAGCCATCTCCAAAGCTAGGGCCCCAGTCGTCGCTCAGTCCGAGACCGCCCCCTCCCCAGTCTTTGCCCTTGCCATGTGGCGGCGGCGGCGGGTTAATGCCACCGCCGAAATCGCCCTTGCCATACTGCCAGCTTCCGTAATTGCCGCCGCCCCCACCCCCGGACCAGGCGCCCTGCGCTGCCCACTCTCGCTCGGCTAGTCTCTGCTGGACCAGGTCTTTGGCTTTCAGTACGGCTTCTTCACTTCCAGCAAAACGCACTGTGCTGAATCCCTGTCCTTTGGTCTCCTGGCTGAGAACGATGATTGCACCACTCTCTGCTTTGATCTGCCGCAGGGTGTCGCCACCACGGCCAATGATCGCCCCGACTTGGCCTGTGCGGAAAGCGAGAAAGAGAGGGCCTGGCGCAACGCGAAGCAACGCGAGGCAGGCACCTTGAGGAACCGAGAGCTCCTCGTACTCGCCTCCGGCCCAAAACAAAGAGGGGGGCCCGGGCAGACTTTCCGGACCGCCGCGCCTGCGGGTGCCCGCTGGACAGCCGCCTGAGAGGGGTTCAGAGAAGCCCTACCGCCGGGCTCCCCGCTCAGACTGGGCGCCTCCTTCACTTGGTCCAGCCTCCCAACAAACAAAGGAGAGGAAGAGAGAAACTGCCTTTCTTTTGAAAAGGAGGCAGACCGCAGAGCGGGCGCCTGTACTTCACCATCTCGGAGGCTTCTCGCAGCCCTGGCCTTGGAGAGAAAAGCCCTCTCACTCTGAGGCTTCGTCTTGCTCCTCTCTGGCTCCAGCCCATCCATGATGCGGATCATGCTATACCTCAGTCTTAGTCGGGAAAGAGACCATCACGGATGCTATGGCTGTGACGGCTATGAGAAGCGCACCCGTAGTCCTTCGTCTCTTGGTCGATGACCTGGGCCGCGGCATGCCAGAGAAACTCGGAAACAAGGAGAGCCTCTGCAGAGGCAGAGGTGTCTGGGCGTCAAGGCCACGGTGGCACCCGTCTGTGCCTGAGGCAGCCAGGGCCAGGGCCAGTGCAGCAGAAGGTAGAAGGCAGTAGGATTCGATGCATCTTCCGCCTGTATTCTCTTGATGTATTCCCCCTGCTTGCCGATGAAGAAGCCCACGGCAGACCTCAAGGAGCCGAGCCGCCGAGCCGCGGTGCCAACTTAAGCTGGACGTGCGTCTCTCCACCAGGACCGCGGCTGTTCGATCTGCGTCTCCCAGCCAACAGCCCCGCTGCCCCCGCCCTCCTGGCCTTGCACCTGCAGAAACCCTCGGTGACGCGACCGGCGACCGCGAATGGGGTCGGGAAGCCCTGCGCGCCTCCGTGCGGTTCCGGTGCATGCCGGAGGCGTTTTGTCGCTTTTCGCTGATGCGGCCGTCGAGCAGGGCCTTGGCCACGGCCACGGCCTCGACAGCGAAGCACTCGGAGCCGCAGGCTGATTCCCTGCCCTCTGCCCTCGCTCCTGCTCAGAGCCCGTGATGCGGACCATGCTGTAGCCCATCTCCTGTCAGACAGGCAAGGCCGCCCGCCGCACTGCGCCGCACTGCGCCGCGCGAAGTGCTCTCTTTCGCAGTCATCTTGGAGAGTGCCTTCGAGGTCTGGTCGATCTTGATGGTGGCTGTGCTGCTGACTTCCATGCTGCGCAAGGTCTCGCCGCCCTTGCCAATCAGAAATCCTCAGATACAGAGAATGTATAACCTCTGCGAAAGGAACTTCGACCTGGGGCCACCACCCACCACGCCTTGATCAACCTTGCCATGCACACACGAGGGAAGGGCCATGGCTCTCCTGGCGCCGCCTTGAACTCGACCACGGCAGCTCCAGGCGGCACCTCGACAAAAGACTTCTCCCCTCCCCGCGCCCGCCTTCCGTGTCGCTGCGTGTCTCTGTGTGTGTCTCTGAGTGTCTCTGGGTGCGCCGGAACTCAGTACTGTGAGCCTGTGAGCCTGTGCAGTTCAGCCGCGCTTCCGTATTTCCCGTCGTTCTTGTATTGGACGGCGCTTCATTAGGGTCCTGCCCGCTCGGGCTCCTTCCGAGCGATCTGCATCCGACACCCCGGGAGCCAGACAGACATGGGGATGCTGGGCGGCGCCGCAGGCAGCGCCTGCGCTGGCAAGAGGCTGCGAACGGCGCGCGGAGAGCCGAAACTCGGCCTGCGAGCCGTCCCCGACGTCGTCCCAGCCGCTCCTACTGCAGAGCGCTCCGCAGCGAGAGAGAGAGAGAGAGAGAGAGAGCGAAGCGGCTGCGAGGAGAGCACAGAGCACAAGAGCAGGGAGTGCAGCAGAGAGCGACAGTGCAGCGCGGAGAGTCGGAGAGACAGCCCAGCGGAGCTCTCTCTACCCCCATGCCTCCCCACCCCCATGCAAGTCTTCACAATGTGAACTTGCACTCACCTGCGCTTCCGTGGTCTCTCGGTCTGCTTGGACTGCGCCGTCTCCACGGCCGCATCCGCATCCTCAGAAAGAAGCGAAGCTGTGACGCACAAAACCTCCCGACACGCTATAAACGCACTGAAAAACCACTGACGCCGGGGCCCGGCCTGTGCATCCTCTGCAGGGCCTGCAGGCATCACACCAGATCGCAGACCAATGCAGGCCGAACTTTCAGCTTCACAGCTGGGTTCCGGGCGTTTTCGTTCGCCATCGATTTCCCCCATGACATGGGAGAACGGATCCGCGAGCCCTCCGCTCGAGCCCACGCTTCTCCGGAGGTCTCTCCCGTTCTGTTCCATTCAAAGTACTCCTCCAGTGCTTGTTGCGTGCTTCCTCACTGTGGTTACAGCTGTTTGACGACTGTCCGACATGTCAGGCAGATCATGACGCTTCCCGTGCATGCGAAGCTGCCCCGCGCTTGTAACGACAACCCGTGAAAGGGCACCTGAGCACTTCAGATCTCAGACACAGTTCAATTTTGCTAGCGTAGGATGCAACATGATGTTAACCTGATGGCAGTCAAATGATTATACTGAGCTCCCTCCCTCTTCGGCAAGCAGATTGCTCTTGACTCTGGGCCTATGACTGCGTTGCTTCCCTGTCGAACCTACCCTCCTACGACGCGGCTGTGTGAGGCTTCTCATTTGTGCCACGATGCGGGGCCCCAAAGTGTGCACTCTCCGATTTCTGCTCTCTGGTGACGGGAGCGCTCTGTAGCGACGCTGAAAAACTGCTGAAACCTTCGATTCACAGCGCACCGCACGTGCACTCGGCGCCGCGGCTCGGTGAGCTGCGCTCTCTGCTCTTTCAAAGAGCTGTGGAGCAGCGGAAGCGGAGCCGGCAGCCCTCAGTTCTCCGAGTCCGAGTCTTCACGCTCCTTCGCCAGGGCCTCCTCCAGGTCCTTCCTGGCCTGGCGCGACGGCGAGCGCAGGGCGAGCGCGGCTGCAGCGTCCACCCCCCGCTCTCAGTTGTAGAAGGCAGGGGGGGGGTGCCTGTCTCAGCTCCTCCAAGCTCTTGGTGGCCTTTGCACCTGCAAAGTGAAGCGACGCGTTTTTCATTCCGCCATGTCGGAAACACGACATCTGGAGCTCTAGGCATCCAGGCGCTTCTCGGCCCATGCCTGCGACAGCAACACAACCCACGGCACGGCTTTCTCTTTGGTGCCCTCTCCTGCTTGAAGTCCTTGAGGCTCTTCTCTTCGGAGTCTCCTCCGCAACGAGACTGTGGCTACCGCCACTGCCGCTACTGCCGTTGCCGATCTGCGAATCTGCGCAGCTCCGCCTCCGCCATCATCGACGAAGGCCTCACTCACTCGAGCCTCACACCTAGCCTACCGCCATGAGCCCCTGGCCTTCAAGGTTTCCAGGCCCTGGCTTCCTGAGAGCCACAAAACCCCCGATAGGCCAGGAAGCGAGGTCGCACCCAAGGCCCGAGCCCCTTTCGGCCCAGACCTGAAAAGGAAAGTCTCTCTCTGAGCAAGGGCGAGTTTTGTGTCTCGGCTGGTGGCCTGAGACTCCTGAGCGAGGAAGACGCCAAGGCCCATCAGCTTGCTGGTGAAGCTTCCGGCCGCCTGCGAGTGTAAGGGCCAGGCGGCCACGCTTCGCCACACGGCCCACTTAAGAAGCCTGGGCCACGTCCGAGACGACGGAGCCCAGCTGCTGTGCAGCTGCCACGGAGAAGGCCACCACACCCTGTGCCAAAATGGGAACCAAAAGGCAGAGAGCAACAGAAGGACGGTCTGGCCCGACCCGGCCTCTGTCGCGCTGAGAGCGTTGCGGGTGATCCGTGCCTTCGAGCGCCGCGCTTCGAGCCCCGGCTCGTTTCCTGTCCTTCTCTTTTCTTTCTTTTTCGCCAAAATAAGAGATTGTGCAACCCTCCCTTCCGTGCTCCAGGCGCCCCCCATATGTTATGGGGAAGCGATTAGGCTGCAGACTGTCCCCGGCAGAAATGCCAAGCCTATTGGCTGCATGCAGCTAAACACAGATCAGCAATCATGAGTAACGGAAACGACCGTCACTTTAGACAACAAGATTAAGGTGTAAGCTGACAGTCACAACTGCCTTTCGCATGTTCGTGCCATGCGATCAGTGAGCTCGCAACAAGCGTTATGATGTACCGAATGCAAGAGCAAAGCTCCTATCACAGACAATACAAATCTTTGACAGATGCTGAGCTTTCTTGTGAATAGTAGACACGTGAGACATTTCCTCTCCTAAAAAGGGGTTCCCCTACCTATGTGGCCTCGCGTCCAGTCAAAGCAGCCACAACACTAAGACACTACAATCAGGTGTAGTCATCGCGAAGCCGGCTTCCAGGAGGCTGCAATCTCGTTCGGGCGTTGGTCGTGGTCGGGCCGAGGGAGGTACACCTCTCAGCGGCGGTTGCCGTCGGAGACCGTGGCCATTTAGGTCGCGGATTGGGGCGATGGCTTCGGAAGAGGCATGGCGGAATGAAAGGGGAAGCTCCCCTCATTGAGACAGGGTGGCCCCGAGAGAAACGGTGAGAAGGCAAGAGCCGGGGACAGTGAGGCTACCCTTCCTTGAACCGCTCACTTGCGCCAAACGGGCTACTCTCTACTCTGTCTCTGTCACCTCTACGGCACGACCTCTAGTATGCGCCCAATGAACATGATGCATTTATGATTGCTCTGATGCCTACTGATCAATGGCATTGGTTCAAAACTGGACAAGGACTGGCTTGGTCGCACAAAGGAATGTCTGCCTGAGTGTGTTTGTTAACTTGGAACGTGGTTGGTCGTGAGTGCTAGGATAGTATAGTGGAGTTTGCATGGTAGCGGATCTTCGGCTCCAGAAACCCGAAGGAAAACCAATGGTCACTTTCTTTTTCCCACACACCCTGAGCCTGAGCACAGCATATTCCGATCAGTCTTGACTTGCAAAGTTCACCAGATTGTGGATGAAGCAGATACATGATGATACACGGTAAAAAAGGGGTCCAGGATTGCTCGACAAAGTTGTTAACCCCCTTTCCTGGTTGCTCTTGCCGGCTTCCAAAAACTCAAACTTTGCTTCAGACTGACACCTCTGGTAACGTCAGGACGTCTGCATGCTTCTGCAGATTTGGTCTCACAAGGAAACTACGAAACCCGGTTCAAAAGGTCTTGTGATTGAGGACGTCCAGGTCTACCACATTGACATGGATTCGTCGAAATTGACTCTTCGGAGCAGCTGTAGAAGCAGAAGAAAGACACCGGAACTTGCCCTGGTCTGGATAGATACGGCGTCATCAACGGCCTCTTGTTGAACTTGATTAACTTTTGAACGACATTCATATCCATGATGTCCAAGCTTTCCACACTTGCAACACTGACGGTTGGACCAGGGCTTCTTGCCGCCACCCTTGACGCCAGATTTGCCTTTCTCTCCTTTGCCTCCCTTTCCGGAAGGCTTTCCTCCTCCTTTGCCGGAGTCCTTTCCCCAACCTTTGCTTCCACCTTTCTTGTCAGAGCCGCCTTTCTCTCCTTTTGCCGGCAGAGCGTTTGGAGGCCCTGTCTCTTTTCTTGCCCTTGCCGCCCTTGTCATCGGTGCAGTGGCACCGATCGTCTTCTGCATGCTCCCGGCCGTCCACGTAGAAGTCCTCTCGTACTGCAAGATGTTGTCTCGCATTCAAAGTACGTTGCGGTGTCATTGACGTACATGTACATGCTACACTTGACATCTTGAGGACTTCCTGAATGCAAAGTTGAGATTTTCAAATCTTCTTGGTACTTCTGCGTAGACACAACCTCATACTCAGTGACAAAAAGCTCGAAGCTCAGAATGTACTCCAGCAAAGATCCACCTTCATTTAGCACTGGAAAGCCCGAAAGCGCTTTCGCCAAAGCCAATGCTCTCGGTCTCGAGCGAGGTTGAAGCTCTTATTTTCACTGAGAAAGTTATGGCTCACAAAACTCAAAGTCAATCATACGACTTCATATGACAAGCGAAAGTTAAAACTTGCGAATCACATAACTGATTCAATCTTGATAATCCAATATATTTCCCATATTGCAAAGCTGCATCGCACTCACTCAA